TAAGAGCTAGGCTATAAAAATTCACCAAGAAAACTAGAGGTACTGTGAGCAATGAGCTCATTAATGATATCCCCCCCTTCCCGTGCCATAATGGCAAAGTTCAAGTTTTGCTGTGGCCGGGAAACCCAAAATATGTGTCGGATCAAAAAGTAAAATAGGAGGTCACCAGGGGCGGATACAGGAATTGAAGTTGGGGGGAATAAAGTAGGCGGGGGGGAGGGGGAGGGGGCTGGGGACCCAGGGGCAAAGTTCCCGGAAGCTCCTGGATTCTAGAGATTTCGAAGGGTAAAAATGAGGTCTACCGAGTAGACAATTTTTACATTTTCTAGCCTAAACTATGATTTACGCTAACTTTGGCAATTTTAGGGCCGCCCCCAGTGCACAATGGCAATATGTAGTAAAGTTTCTGTGAAAGTTTCATTAAATTTCACTCAGTGGTATAAGAGGAGTTGCGGATAAGAGATGGGTAGCCCAAAGCGTAACAGACAGACGGACGGACGTACAGACATTTTAAAACTGCCTAACGCTTTTTAATTTAAAATGCTGATAATTTTGAAATATGCCACTTCTCATCTGTGCAGAAACCATATCAAATGACATGTAGCTATGTATATGAAGTACTGGTATATACTCATGCACTTCATGTTTTTATTTTTACATGTACATATTGCTTATATTGATCTTTATTCATATTGCATTTTAATAAAATTATAAAGTTATCAAAATAGTTATGTACGGAAGCATTTAGCAAAAGAAAAGACATTTAAAATAAAAGTACAATTCAATTTTGCGACTCCCCTATGCGTTGTGTTTTTCCAGAAACGACTCCCCCCTACGTAACCATTACTGTCTGAAGAGAAAATGTCTTAATTATTAATTTTCATTAAGTCTAGCCAAATTTCAATTGTTGCATTTGAAAGATTAACGTTTGCTTTTTCTGTTTTATCTGTTATAATCCCTACACAAGTCGTAGATTGTGCACACTATGCATGTTTTAACCACTCGATCAACGTAAATATGAAATCTGTCGAATAGTTTCGAAGTGTTTGTGAAAACTAGACGTATATGCTAGCCGGACAAATGACCAACAGAAAGCTTAACTATTGCTACCTTCCGTGGGCTAGTTGTTTTTTGTAAATAGAACTTACATATACCGAAAAAAGACGTGACCCACATCACTTCTGACTCCGAAGCGGTGAAAATCGACTCCCCCATACGTTGAAAACGACTCCCCCATACTTTTTAGCGACTCCCCCGCGTTACCCGTTGTATACGGTGATAAGGATGATTTAAGACCGTTAGATATTACAGAACTAGCACTTCTTGAAAAATATGCTACCACATACACTGTGTATTTAATGAAAGTGGTTCTTAGTATTCATTGGTTCAAACTATTACTTAAGATTTGTTCGTCAAAAGTCAAGATGAAATTTATCCAGTTTGCATTAACAGACTAAAGGGAAAGGTTTAAATTTATTGTACCATAGCTGAACATCTATACACCACATTTTATTTGTTCGAAACTATGGTGTATTTTGAGCAAACCAACACTTTTCTGTGATCAATATATATCCCACTAATTTCTAACTCCGCCTTCTTGCGGTCTAGTAAAGTTAACATTTTTAAAATGAATATTCATCGTTTATTGTATTTATGGAATACAACTCAAAACAAAATTACAAAAATAAACACACACACCATTGCGCACACATCTGTTCTCTCAAAATAAGATATCTTTAATGAGATACCAATTCACATAAAACAAGTACAAAAGTAAGTTCTCTCTCTCTCTCTCTCTCTCTCTCTCTCTCTCTCTCTCTCTCTGAAATTAATCGGTTTTTTTAAATAGTTATTTAAAAAGAACAGATACAAAAAAGAGAGTTTTTCTCTCAAAGTAACAAAAAATGTCTCCCAGTAACGTTGCTTTTCATTTTCACTGAAATGATTAATTAGTATACACCTGGTTCATAGTAATACCCCAGTTAAAATCCGCCGAAATTAAAGGTTCAGTGGGTGAAAATTGGACAAGGAGCGTCTGTATCCATGGAGGGTGGCGGATCTGGGGAGGCAGATGTAGAAATAGTAGAAGTTGCTTCCTCTGATTTTATATTCATGCGTTTTGGATCTAAGACGTTGGATACCTCCATTACCATTTCATCTGATGCTCTTTTATACTGTCGAACGGATTCTGTCAAATGATGGCCCGTTCGGGCCATAATTTCTTGTTCCTCTATTCCCGCCTGATATAAGTACGCTTCCCGGAGTGATTAGTATAATTACCTTCCAACCCGCCTTCTTGACACATGGATTTCATCATGGTTGACACCGATGCACTGCTTGCTAAATTTCCTGCCGTCTAACGCTCGTCTATAGAAGGGTGCGGTCGGATCACTGTCAAGACTAAGGATGAGGCAAATATACTCCTTATACACGTTGTACAACTCATCATCACAGAACATATGCTTGATGATTTTTGGCGAAATATTCCGCTGGTTCAGACCACCTGAAATATAATCATCAAGTAAACATTAAATAAATATGGTCTGTCGAAATACTAGTATAACATATTCATTCTAGAACCCCCCCCCCCATTTCCAGAAAAAAGACACTAAGTCTGTTAGTGCTATTCCTGTTTAAAACATTTTTTAAAAAATAAACGATGCACATAACTCTTAATTCACACTTAACAAAAATGTATAATTCTGATAGACCTTTTTGTTAAATATTTTTGCAGAAATTATAATCTTACCTTTGTAAGTTTTACTGGTGCGCCCTTTAAAAACAATGAACGGTCTTTCATTTCCATCACTTACATCATGAAGCTCAAACTGATCAATCGATAGTTTCCTATGTTCATCGACGCCTCTTAAACCAAAGAGCTTGCAGTTGTAAAAAAAAGACTGAATTTAGTAATGATTTTGAAGACGAATTTCCCAAAATGTTCTTTTCCCACATAATCTTTTCGTCTTTTTCGGACAGGGGTTCAGCTTGTCGTTTTACAATTCCTACTCCCTGAGCAGTAAGCTCAGACATTTTCGCACTCAGCGCTCGTCGAAATCCTTGAAACTTGAGATTTTTTTTCATCCAAAAAGTTTAGATCGTTTCCATTTTCTCGAAGATACCTCAGGACGCCCACGCACAACTGATACAGAGATCTTGGTGGGTACTGCGCACCATCTTTACGCCTCGCCTCAAGGACAAAGCTTGTCATTATGTCATTCATTTCGGTTTCGTTAGTTATTAGAGTCAATTCAGACATGAACGCTCCAGTAATTTGCATTCTGTTTTTTCTCCATTCCTCAAATTCTCGCAGCATAGAAAACTCACCAAAATCAGCAGGTTCGACTTCATACAATTCAATTGTTTGGGTCAGCGACAATTCGTTTAGGGATTCTTCGGCCTCAATAATATCAAGGGCTTGAGAAAGCGCAAAATCCATGCCGTCTTCCTCCATGCTGATACCCGGACTGACATTCAAGCGCGAGTCTCTTCGTGAGATACCGGTTTATCTTGTTTGGTCAAGCGTGCATAAAAGTATAATCCCCTAAATTTACTCAGAGCAATTCATTTATCAAAAAATCAATGGCTATAATCTTTATTACTTTTATTTTTTATTTCAATACAGTGCAGTTTATTTATTGACAACATATTATATATATAAGGATATAATTTTAATCACATTAATATTTTGACACTATTTATCTTAAGGTAAGTCACTCCTGAAATTTGTTAAATCAAGGATTTTTTGAGAAGTATATTTTGGATAAGTACTCATAAAGTGTAACTCAAAATCGCAAAGAAAATAGGGGGTCAGTGTGCATCCTACTGATCTACGGTACATTTAAGTTGACCTTTTTGCACTTAAATTTCATCTCTTTGGTTAATTACTTTAAACCTTATTAGATTTTATCAGATGTAAGCATGGCAATAAATATAATCTTATTTTACGTAAAAGAGTTTGAATAATATTTATCATTAAACAAATCTTGCAAATTAATGCGCGTTAATTATTGTGTGACCTTTTTGCACTAAAAACTAACATATTTGGGGTATTAAAAAACTTAATAGGCAATAAAAAATTTTCTTATATCAAACTTTTTACGACTTAAGTGTTGATCAGTCACAAGTATCGAGTAGTTTAAAATAATGAAAGAAAAAGGTGGGGTCAGTGATGTTAATTTTGAAATATTTGTCAAAATATGTGATTTTCAGGCAAAAAATGGTGAAAATTTGATCTTGACTTCTTTAATATTTTTTCATTTTTTTGGAAAAGTTTGTTGAGAGAAGGTGTAAAACTTAGTTTAAAAATATAAATTAAGACCTATATTAAATATTTTTAGCAATATCAAAACGGAAAATATTCTCCGAGTAAAATTATGTGAGGTTAAATTTCCATTACATTAAATTTTATAAATGTGCAGATTTGCAGAATTTTCTGCTAAATATCCTTCCACCAAAAGAAATAGTCCCTCATAAATCTTGCTTCTTTGTAGATTTTTGAGCAGTTTTTTCGTTGAATGTTAAAAAATGTACATTGTTGAATTTAAATATGTTATAAAAATCGAATTTTAATAAGTAGTTTTGAAGTCAAAGCTTCTGCGTAAACTTTTCTAAAAAGCTGACGAGTGACATACCTTAACTATACATTTCTCAGTCGATGTTTTGCACGCTTGATTAAGCAGACTAACTCTAGATCTAACTTTAGAATCCACCTATACAGGTTATAGCTATGGTACAAGTGAGTTACCGTTATGTTTTTCTATTGGTTCGCTATAGATACCCGATGACATTTTGAAACAGTCATGAGGGGCATCGGGTATCTATTGCAAACCATTAGAAAACATACGGTAACTTTTACAAGTCCTTTTCTGGCAACCTGTGACTTCTCGTATAAGCTAAATATTCTTGCAAGGGAGGAAAGACTACACAAACAAAACCATGACATAATTAAGGAATTATGAATTTAGATAATAAACACTCTAATGAAGTCTTGTGACTACCTTTATTTCCTAGTTAATGAAACAATTCGTTGTTTAGTCATTCCTGATGATCGGCATATGCAAATCACATTCTGTTCCAAACTAAAAATTGAAAAAAACAAAAACATATTTCAGGAAATATCTAGAGTCTTCTCGAGACTAAGAAGCTGGGATCTTTAAAATTTTAAATCAATGCCAATAATATACAGAATAAAAAATAATCAAAACCTTATAAAAATAATACTTCAAACTTAAATACCGATTTCATTAAATAAATACGTTTATGTCTGCATACTAGTGTATTACTTACAGTAGGGACAACACACACCGTGCTGCCTCCAAGGGCGACTGAAAAAGCAAAATGCTCCCCTTGGACAATGGAAGGTGTGTTGACAAGCTGTGTAACTAACAGGATAAAGTCCGAAGGGACATTCTCCTCCCTGACCTGTATGAGTGGGAAAGTTTGAGTAAAAAAGATTATGATATATGTTTAAGAATTAATTCTTTATACAACACAATATGAAATAATAGGAAAATTCGCATAAAAAATAAAAACGAGTTTTCATGTTATGATTAAAAACTGCTCAGTTCAGAAACAATTAACTATCTTTCTTTGCATAACATTTAGGTTTTTTTCTTTTTAATGTTAAACTACAAGTTCATGAGGATTCGTTTTTTCAACGAACTTCTGTCCTTTATTGATAGTGAAATTAATCATTCGAGCCATTGTTATTTTTGTAAAGATGAATGTAAATAGAATCTCGCAAAAATAATATAAAATCACTTACCATGTACATTTACTCCTGCCAGGAGAACAAGAAAGCTCAAAAGGATGATATACTTATGCATCTTGAAATATGCACCTTACTGGATATGCAATGTTCCATTTTATACCATTTCTTTTGATGGACAATAAATAAATCTTCGTTTAAATCAAAACATAAATTGATTTCCTTGTTTTAACAATCTGCTGAGTCACTCCTCATAACCCGCTGCATGCGATCACGTATTGTTTACTTCAGAATTAATATTTTCTGCAGTCGGTCAACGTAATTAGTTTAAAATGTTTTTCCATAATAGACAAATGACTTTTATGAAGTTTATTGTTAAATCATAAATAATGAAAATGAGATATTTATAGAAAAACTTAAATAAAAGTACGATCATGTTTTTGTTATATTAAATAAAACATACATAAAACAAGCTGTGTTTGAGAAACACTAATGCCCCCGTATGGCAACATAAGAAGGCTAAATTTTCTCAATTGCAAATCAAACATATTGATACCCAAGGTATGGCCTTCTCAAAAGAAATACAAATGTGAAATTTAAAACCCTAGTACGACCTGTTCAAAAATTATGGCCAAAGTTAACTTTTCGTAAAGTTAGGTCAAACTCCAAGGTAAAGGTCAATGGGTCAGGGTTGTTGGTTTCTAAAGAAAGGTCTTGTCAAACAAATTACATATGGGAAGTAAAAAAGCACCAGTCCTAACCTTTCAAAACGTTATTGCCAAGGTTACAGTTTAAAAAGTAGGACAAATTCCAAGATTAAAGTCAAATGGTCAAAGTTGTCAGTATCCAATGAAAGGTCTTCACATAAAGAATATACCTATGAAGTATGAAAGTCCTAGCATCAACATTTCAAAAGTTATGGCCAAAGTAAAAATTTGGAATTATGATGTAAAACTGTGTCAAACTCCAAGGTCAAGAAGTCAAAGAAAGTTCTAGTCATAAGGAATACACCTGTGAAACATGAAAGCCATAGTCTCGCCCAGTCAAATGTTATGGGCAAGGTTAAAGTTTTTGCAGACAAACAGACAATCAGACGAACAGGCAGACAGACAAATGGACAGAAAGGGCGAAAAGGATATACCCTCGAAACTTCGTTTACAGAGGCATTAGAAATATAAGAACTTAAATAAAAGGTACTTATAATTCAGCAATAATTTATAATACTTGAAAGATGCATTTCTTATACAATTTTGAAATGTATAATGCTTATACGTGTACAGGTATTTACATTTTAGAAATTTCTTGTCTGCAATGTTATTTTTTTTTTAATTTTGAATTCCCTTTATCATCCTTCATATAAGATATATATTTAATTGAAGAGTGATTGCATGTACTTCAGCTACATGTACTTTAAGTGTGAAGATCTAGTTTGATTTTCCCATTTGACGTTGCACTGTCACGACGTTTAAAATTTACAGTAAATTCAGGAATAATCTCAATGCACTAGTATTCGACGGAAAATTTTTCCTCTCCTTCCACCATTTTCCTCCAAACACGAAATGTTCGCCTTGGTATATTCACACTGTTGATCCTAGGTGGGAAGCTTTTATTCTTTATTGGTTTGGGTTCAGCAACCCACCCCCTGTTGTTTGTTTATCTTTTCTGGAAGTTGTTCCGTTTTCACATTTTCTTCTTTTTCTCCAAAAAGAAATCTGAAATCTATATCCCTGAATCTTATTTTGTTGATCCCTTCTCATGCAATGTTCTTGTTTCCAATAACTTTCACGTTTCTGTTATGTATCTGTGTATCTGTGAGTTTTGTCGTCCAAATCAATTTGTGAAAAAAGTTATTCTAGGTTCATCTTTGTTTAACTGTTGGCGCAGTTTGATGACGGTTCATTTTGGATGGACTTACATGTATGACGTCATGTCGCATGCAGATCGGTACTTAAAAGAACACATAGAAACACAAATTTTGCATAGTTACAAGTACAATTTATATGCTATTCACTTTACTGTTTAAGGAATATGCAAAGATTTTGCGAAGAGAGGAGTGTCCGTCTCGTCGCTGCCAATCTCGACGCCTATGCCTCTCTGTACAATAAATCCCTTAGAAACGAAACAAAATACTGTGAATGTCAGTTATCACGTCATATCGGGTGTATGAATCTCAAATGACTCGATTCGCAAGAGCATGATCTATGTATAAACACTTTATGAAAAGAGATGAATTATTGACAAAAAGTTGATAAGACAAAGATATTAACAGTTTGGTTTGAAAACGTCTTTTAGGAAGATCCTACGTTAATACAAAAATTTATATATCAAACAAAAACTATCATTGGGTCAAATACCAACTGACGATTTTTGTTCAGATTTTATAGTCTATCACTAATCAACACATTTAATTTTCTTCTTTTTTGTATTTCCTGATCATGACAAGGATTACAAGTCTGTTTTGACCGGTCGAATGCTTACTCCTCCTTGGTACATAGTCCCACCTCTAATGTTTTGCAAGTCCGTGTTTTTCTCTGCTCTTGATTCGAAATGGTTAATGAACTTTAAGGCTCAAATGTTGTTCGTTATATCCATACATTTTATCTCGCTAGCATTTTTAAAGCAATCTTGTTTAACTAATAGGGTACATCTGGAATATATTAATCATATCATAGTTTGTACGAAGAAAGACGAATCTTTCCTTATCATAATATGTATTTTACATTCTTAGGTGTAAGTTTGGGTTTCACAAAATAAGTATTAAAAAAGTACACATAACAACAACCAACCCACCCCAAACCCGCCCTAAAATATGTTTCTTTTAATGTTGAAACATTAATTCAATTTTATTGTAATTTTGTCAAAGAACTGTAACCAGTCTATTCTCAACTCACTACCATGCCATCTTGACCAACTCATGTAAAATTTTTCTTTCGGAACAATTTTTCTTCTTTTGTTGATTCTTTCAGCAAATGGGATTAAAAGGAGATACTAGTACGACATACTATCAAACCTGACTTGTTGCTTTGCCGCTTAGTTGGTCTGGCCTCTATTTTACTCTCTAATTGCATGAATTTGGCCTTGCCTAGCCTCAAAGTACATGCGTAAATCCTATAACACCCGAATCGCTAACGTACGGATATCATGTTAACATAAAGAAGGCACATGTCAACTTAGTCATGTTGCATCTTGCATGGTTTATGTCATATGCTGGTGTCATTAAATGTCCTTACCCAAACTAAAATTAAACATTATCTAACAAGAATAGTGATTTGCATGTTTAAAATGGTGTCTTGAACGTTGACTTAGTAATATTGCATGTTTACATATTTTTCTTGCATGTAGAGGGCAGATAAATTATTCTAAATCACTTGAATTTATTTGCTTTTTTTCCTTGTTTAATTCATAAAAACGCTGTTATTCTGATGTTTGATAAGTAACCTATAAAGTACATTGATTAGAACCATTAAGATAAGAGGGCTATACTATCGATTTATTTTTATCATATTTCGCTAAATAAGCTTTTCTGGTAATTACTATACATTAGAAATATTCGAAACATTAGTATCTGATTTTTTTCTGAAATGACTATCAAAAAAAAAAAAATCTTTTGAACTTGGCAGATTAAATGAGACACGAGGAGATAACATATAGTATTCGGGCTCAAAAGTCCAATAAACAATACAAAGTAGGAGCGTAATAAACACGGACCTCCAAAACATCAGAGGTGGGATCAGGTGTCATGGGGGTGTGAGCATCCCCTACCGACCGGTCAGACCCGCCCGCTGTGTGCTCCGTGTCATGTTCGGGAAAACCCCACGGAAAAATTCATTGACAACTATCATATCCTACCCTTTTCTGAACACAAATCTCATGAATGCAGTCATATGTATTATATACCTATATTAGTATTTAACTTTGTTCATGATAAAATTTATCATGTCTGCATTATTGTGTAATTCTTTTAATTGTAATTTGTGCGGGGTCATTCCTAGTGGTCAGATAAACTTTTCTTGATTGGCGTGGGGTATGAATGGGGAAAATTCATATAAAGAGAAGATTTAATGTATAAATAAATGAACGATAATTTTTTTTATTAGGATGTATATTCGTCGAAAAGAGTGACCCACGAGATACACGATCATTTGCTCCTACATTTTACATTGATTATTCCTTAGTGTTAGACTTAATTTAATTTGAATTTTATATGTAAGGAAAGATATAAAGATTTTCGGAACTATGCATTTTTTGAACAGAAATAAAAAATGGAGAATTCCCGTTAAGACTTCATCCTGTAAGTAAGAGAGTCTGTCTAACTAACTACGTGTTGAGTGAAATATCACATAGGAAGAACTAAAATAAAAACCCGGAAGAAAAAAAAAATTAAGTATAACTTATAATATGGGCAACATATCTCATGTTTTGTTTTGGGTATTTTTGACTGACGAAATATCCACTTCAAGGACAATCCAAAATAAATGGTCTGCTGCAATTAATATTCGCTAATTAGAATAGGATTCGGAACTCTAGGATATTTTTCACACACGAATAAAAGCTGGTTTACAGTACCAAAAGCATGGTTCTTATTTAGCCAAAATAAGTTTCTTGTTATTTTTACTAAAGGCCTTTGAATAAAAATTCTATACAAAAATAAATGCAGTAATTAACAAAACAACTTTTTTAAACTGAAGGTAAAAATTTATTTTCTGTATCCCAGCATGTTATGCAACACAAGACAGCCGGATCTTCTAACCCATCATTTTCACTGCCACCCTAGTAATGAAAAAGATCCTTATTACAATAACCAAAATAATTTGATGAATATCAAATAGTGCAAAATTAATTTAAGCTGACTAAGGGTTATCCTTTTACGAATTTTTATGGTACAAGTTAACCACCATTCGTGTTACAGTCTCAGGTGGCAGAGGATAGTTTCGAATAAAGTACCGGTCAAAAAATAGAAAAAAATAGAGAAACCTGAGGTTTGAATGCATATTACAGGTAATTTATAGCTAGAATATTTTATGTGTGCATTTGGAGGGAATTGGTGGCCTTGTATGTTTTATTGAAATATGACACTTTAGTGTCACTACTACTGTATATGGGATATGGACTAGAAATACGAAACCAAGCTCAAAACCCTCTCTACCGGTATTTCACCAGAAAAGCGGTGTGGGTTCATAGGATGAATTGTAGCTTGAAAACGAGGTGGTTGAGCCATTATCTCTTGCTGTTCATTGGTATGTACAAATGTTATTCTGCAATTTGTGTGGTAGCTTAAGTCATGAGCATGGGCCTCCCTGGAAGCAGTTGCGGCTGCGGCGAAATAGTGAAAATAGGCTTGATTTACATGAAATTTTGAGGTTGTCCCTGTGCCATCTTTAGGGCTCATTGTGTAAGTTGTACATGTTTTATTACTAAAAGCTTCAAATTCCTCAAAGGACTACATCATACTATTATTACATGTAGAGGGAATCAAAAAATTTTTCAATGCACATTTTAAAAGCAGCTCAATATTAAATAAACCGTCAGTCAAACGTTTTGATTGGAAAAACTATCCTCTGCCACCTCAATCATTCAACGAGTCATCTATACCTTTTTAACCGGAACTCTCAGGCATCGTGTTGAATCAAATATCACATAGGTGTTCAAAGAAGGACTAATAAAAAAATCTCAGAAGAAAATGGAATAGTATTACTTACAATATGGACAGCATATCCCATATATTCTTGTTGGGGTGATCCAGCAGAATGCTCCCCTTGGACAATGGAAGGTGTGTTGACAAGCTGTGTACCTCAAAGGATAAAGTCCGAATGGACACTTCCCTCCCTGGCCTGTATATTTTGGAAATTTTGAGAAAAAAAAGGATTATACAATTCTTTTTAAAACAAAATCTAGAATTACTTAGGGTTTTGGCTTAAAAGTACGAGATTCGTATAAAATAAAACCTTTCTAGTCCAGAAATGCTTAAATCTTTCTTTACATATATGAATTGTCTGTTTTGTAGTTTAGTAAACTACAATTTCTGACTTGAGGTTTAATTTTTTTCAACAAATTCTTGTCCTATATTGATAGTGAAATTGATCATTCGACCTACAGTATATTGTGATTTTCTTTGTCAAGATAATTTTTTTTAAAAAAAGCTGTTTCAAATATGAATATCCCAAAAACAAAAGAAATTTACGTACCATGTACATGTACACCTGCTAGGAGAACAAGAAAGCTCAAAAAGATTATGTACTTATGCATCTTGAAATATGCACATAATTGGTCGTGTAGTTTTTCATTTATATACCATTTCTTTTGATGGACAATAAATAAATCTTCGTTTAACTAAAAACACAAAATAATGTCTCTGTTTTGATTAGTCACTCTCTGTTAACCTCGTGCATGCGATCACGTATTGTTTATTTTAGAAATGATATTCTATGCAATCGGTCAATATAATTAATTTTTTTCCACAATTGTTATTGGTGGGTTTTGTTTTGTTTAAAATATAAATGTAAATTATACCAATAAGATATTTACACAATACCTTAAGTAAAAGTATGTTCATTTTTTGGTATCTTCAATAAAACAAACAGAACAAAATTATAAGAACTAAATAAAAGGGTACATGTACACTGTACTTATTATTAGATATTCAGGTATTATTTTTAAAGATGCATTGCTTATACATTTTTGAAAGATGCAACATGTTTCTACATTTTAGAGCCCCCTCTCTAGTCCTCAAATGTAATTCATTTTAAAATCCTCGTATCATACTTTAGGTAAGATAAATTAAATGTAATAATAATAACATCAGCTACTTTAACTGTCAGCATTGTTCTTCGCATATGAGGTTGCACTGTCACGGCATTTAAAATATGTGTTGTCAAATCCAATTATACTTTAACCTTTTGACCCCCTTATCCGTATTTTGATGCGGTGAATACGTAGTTTTCCACAAATGAAATTAATAAGCAAAACACGTATTAAATGTAAATTTACTTATTAATTTGATCATCATCTGACCATTAGTTGAGCGGTTATATAATTTCATGATTAGAGATCATTAATGTTATAAATAGCTCTCTGATAGTTTTGTTCAGTACTTTGTATTAAGGCGATATGTTATAGTTAATTACAGTAAAAAATTGATACTTTGATTTGTAATGAAATTTTAAACTTTTTTGAGATTTTAAAGATGAAAATCTCTCATAGATTTAACATCAATGATGTGAACTTTGAAAAAAATGAATTATATTCAAGTAATACTAATTCCAGGTTATGTAAGTATTTTACATATATAAAATATTGAACCTTATCCCAAATGTTACAATCTGAAATTCATATAGTAAAATTACAATGTAATCTGATTTACTATAGTGTCAACTAATATATGTGTAGTCAGCTATTGTTGATTATGGTAAAATAATTAATCAGCTCAATAATTGGTCATTACTCATCATTATTCTCATTAAAATGAATTTAAAAAACAAAAACTATGGTTATAAACAACGATGCCCCCATATGGTGTCTCAATGACAAAGTTTGAATTTTGAAGTTGATATTTAAAAGATGTTGCATATTTTCGGATATTAGATCTTCCACCAATCTGTTAAAATGTTGTTTGATGCCATACTTATGCGAAGAGGGATTTCTGTACATGTATTTCATATAAAGCAGGATTATTCAAATATCTAAAATGAGAAAAATAAACATGTTGGGATTTCAACTTTCTGTCCTTGATTTGTACCGTTTTTATGGGCTTAAGGACAGATAATATAAACAAGGATGCCTGGATTGGTATATATTTCTGAGTCTTCTTGTTGCAAATGATGCGAATAAAAAATCAAAAATATCACGTAATTGTTTACCTTCTGTAATGTTCAAAATTCTTCCTTTCTGCGACCATCCTTATTAATCTTTACGATTTTTTTTCACTTCCAATGCATTATTATGTATATTTAAATGAAATATTAAAAACTATGCGATGAAACTTGTTCATTTTACTTTTTTATGACAAGGGTTTGGGTCATCTGTCCTTAAGGCTAAATTACTGTTCGTTATCTCCATGAATTTTATCTCACTGACATTTTATTTGCATCCTTTTTTCTAATAATAAGTTTTCCGCATTGATTCATCTGAAATACATTAATCGATATGCAAATTTGTTTTCGTATCTAAATGTATCTTTCCTTATTTTGTGTATTATATTATACTAAGGTATTAGTCAAAGAATTAGAAAATGTATGAAATAGTTTTAAAAAGTACACACACCACCTTCCACCCCTCAAACATTTCCACCTAAACTGTCAAGAATTAAGTCATGGCTCTTATTGAACTTCTGCAAGAAGCTTCTGTCGTCGGCTTACATGTACGTCTATATCTCAGTTAATTCGATATGTAAGAGCATGCTCTACGGATGAAAGATTTCTAAAACGAGGTAAATTATTCACAAACAAGTTGATGAAACAAGAATTTCAGCAGTCTAGTTTACAGTCATCATTTCGTAAGTTCTATCGTCACTACAATGACTTTGTCAGCAAATACAATTTATCATTGAGTAAAATGCTGACTGACGTTTTTCATGCTAATTGTTAGTCCATTATTTATACACTGAATTGAAGATGGTTTTTTCTGTTATTTCCCGATCAGGAACAAGGAGCACACAGCAGTTATGACTGGTCGGCAGGGGATGCTCACTCCTCCATGGCACCTCATACCACCTCTAATGTTTTGAAGGTCTGTGTTTGCTCTTCTTCTATTTTGTATTGTTTTATGGACTTTTGGTCTTGAATAATGTTTGCTATCTCCATATGATTCATTCGACTCTGTGACCACGTATATTTGAATTACGTTGTTTGCAATATGAATATATACGATACGAAAATCTTACCGTAGGCTCAGAAAAAAAAATATAGCAAACGTATATATATGAAAATAAAGGAGACATTACATACACTACAAATGAAGGACCCGTTAGACCTATCTGAAATATTGTTAAAGTGTATTCTACTTCCAATCATCTTTTGTGTTGAATATTCATCACTAAATCAGGAAATTCCCATTGAAGAGAATCTCTTTAGCCACTATAATGTTTTGTTATCTTTTATCATAACACAGATTTAAATGTCAAAGAAAGCCATCGACTGTTTAAATCAGTAGTTCTCGCAAAAGTCAATCCTTAATTAAAAAAGGTTTCATTTGATATTTGCCAAAGTTTTTTTTTTAATTATAGTCTAATTTATAAATTAATGCAATCATAAAAAGACATCTGAAGAATAGAGTTGAAAATTTTATTTTCTGAATCTCAGTACGTTACATAGCACAAGCCTTAGGGATCAAAGTCTTCTTGTCTATCGAGGTCACTACCACCCTGGTAAAGAAAAGAAATGTAATGTTTTATTACACAAATATATATTACGTAGGAATATAAAGAATTACTAAATAAATACACAATTAATAAAATAATTTATAACGTACAATATGGGCAGCATATTCCGTATGTTCTTGTTGGAGTGAACCAGCAGAAAGACCGAGGCGGGCAATCGCTATGCTGATAACACGCCGTCCGGCTCACTTGGAAATATCCAAACGGACAATCTCCTCTCTGTCCTATAAAGTAAATTTAAAAATTAATGTCTTTTTTGTAAGGTTAACCGATTGGATAGAAATATAAAAGTTCAAACGTTTAAAGCAATACGAGGGCTGTTCAATAAATAATGTCCTCGGTGCTCAGAAAGAAGCAAGAGACGCTTTTCAACGATTTAGTATTCATGATTTTACTAATTAATCTCTTTCAAGTAAAATACATGTCCGTAACATTTTTTATCTAATTTCTATTTGTTTTTAGAACTCATTTTTGGGTATGACCCTTATTATACTGGAAAATGGCAGATCCAATGATTTCCCGGACTTGTTTCTTCCCTCTGAAAGTTGTTTTTGTCAAGTTTGGAAATATAAACAAGTCAAAAGGTTAAAGATCTGGCGAATATTGTTAATGCGAAAAAACATTAACTTTCTGTTTATCCCGAAAACCCCTTTACTCTTTAGGGCATGCGGGTTTGGACGCTGTCTTGAAGAAATTCAATGTAGTGGATTCCTGATTCAGGGTCTTTCCTCTAATAAACCTTTTGATTTTTTTGCAAAAAAATTGCTTTTAGACTCCTCCAGAAATTAAACTGTCTCTCCGAATACCAATTTGAACAACAATACCACTTATTTTTAAGAAAATTACATATAAATCTGTCTTTGTGCTCTTGAATACCTGTGCTGTTGTCAGACATTCGTCGTGTTTATCAAGTACATCTTATGGTAAATTTTGTTTTGAGGGTTTTAATCAATAGATTCATGTTCCAATATCTGTTTGAAAATAAAACAAACGTGGATAACTAAAATTACTGATATTTTAAAATAATTGTTAAGAATTTCGTATACGCTGTCGTTTTCACTCATTTTTCAAAATATAGGGTGACCTCTGAGTACCAAGCTTTTTTACCGTCAAATATTTCTTAAAAACAGTGTAAACTACTCCCGATATGATGTCTATCAAATTTGCCATGTGTCTTAAAGTCAATCATACATCATCAAATATTATTTGTTGAAATTTGGCAACCAGTACATAAGTTTTTATAATTTTTGTTGGCAAGGAGCTCGAGGGTACCCATTTTTTATGCCCATTATATAATTTTTTATCATTGAAATCCACCTGCTCTTCTGTCTATAAAACAGGCATTGGTATCTGTAAATGTCATATATTTCAGTGAATATTTCTTTGGGATTTTTAACAAGTTTTACGGCAGCTATAATGAAGCTTTTATTTTCACTCTAGTTTACTGATTCTTTACCATTCATTTATAATGCAGTGTCTCGAAAAGCCCTTGTTTCCCAGCTTCTCACGATGAAACTATGTGATGAAAAGTGGTCACATAAACTGTTATAAATTCATGAAAGATTCAATAATGAGAGAAAGTCAAGTTTAATGTCATATGACATCTGTAATGTATGTTATATAGTTCAGGACATTATTTATTGAACAGCCCTCGTATGAGCTGCAACTTTGATGTCGGATTTTCTTGCAAAATTGTAAATACCCCTTTGAATGGCAGAAAAAAAGAATAATTATAAACTTCCGTTGTTCATATTTGCGATGTAAGAGGTATTTATAAGCTGTGGTTGAATCAAAATTGCATTATTGTCGCCCTGTACAATAATGATTTCTGATATAATACTGTATATCCAATTGTAAAGAAGTCTTTCTTCAGAAAAAATTTAATACTTTATTTTAGTCTAATTGATCAAAAAGGTTTAAATTACATACAAATTTGTCATAATAACACATTTTAACAGCAAAATAAAATTTTCAAAAATGCAGCTTTATACTGCTTTAACGTTCAGTGTACATTTATTGATGGATTTCTTGGGGTTCCATGTCCCATACATGTACGAGATTTTTTCAGTCATTTATAGACCTCACGATATTGACCGGTGAAGGACTTGATACTCAAGCCTTTGCTAGGCACTCAAAGTCATTGAGCTTTAATGGTTCTTTATTGTGCCAACGTCTTTCGTTTTTTCTCGATTTTTTTTAGGTCGGTTCCGAAAGACCCGCGCTTTTCACTTCAAAGTTCCGAAGTTACAGTTGCAAATTATTTTTATCGACTTAAGTAAGTCGCATCCGAGGTTCGAGCCCTCGAACATCCGAACAGATATTGAATCGAGGATATGAAATAAGATAAGAAGTCGTTTGATTAGATCTGTATTAACATCGGTATAAATAACCTCGTTGAAATTATGGAAGTGTTTAGATATATATAAATCATAGGAAATTCTTACCAAGCAAAATTGCTTATTTACTTCAACTGTAAGAGACATGTGTTACGTCAATTTAGGAGCGAATAATTGCTTTTGAAGGTATAAATGAAGAATTTGAAAATCTGAAGAGTCGTACAAATATTTCTAGAAATTAAGCATTTTAAGAAAAAGATTTTCACTGTTGTACATGTCCTCTGTGTTGAATATTGTGATCGATGATGTCATCAATAAAAAAAAATATATGTCAAATATGATCTCTTCTACATATGACCATCATCTGGTTTATTTTGCAAAAGTAAGACCTTCCTTGTAAAGTTTTATATTATTGTTCTTTAAGAATAGACTTACCATTGAACATCATATATATAAGGTTTTCAAAATAATGGTATCATGAGAAATACATGAGGAGCAAAAGGCGGGTAAGACCGGTTGACAGGGGATTCTCGTTCCTCCTCGGCACCTGCTCCCACCTCTGATGCTTTGGAGTTCCTTGTTTTCTCTGCTCCAATTTTGTATTATAAAACGGATTTTTGAGCTTGAAAAGTGTCTCCATACATTTGATCACACATGGTATATTTGATCAGAAGGGCTCTCATGAAAGACATGTGAATGTACAACTTACCTTCTTCTGACCAGAGAGTTATTTAACCGAGTATACTACTTAATAAAACAAGTTAAAATACGAGAAAAATTTAATAACCTACCTTCACAACTGACGACTAAGAAAAGGAAGAAGATTAGAAATTTCATCTTTCAACTGCAGGCAATATTACCCAACCATAAAACTAGAGGTCGTCTGGACCTTTTATTCATTTGCTTTTAATTAAATAAACTAATCATTCAGTTTTGACAGAATTACAATGCATATTTTTTAGGACAATTTCCTTGTTTTGTCTAAAAATTAGAACACAAAACTTGCTTTTTATGCAATGTGTCACGTTCACACTGAGAAAAGATTGAGGAAAATTAAAAACATCACCTTGTCCACGGTGCATAGATTTCATAGTTGGAGTTATGAGGGCGACTTCAATTTCATGTGAAACACACATTCCCAACGACCAGGGGCTATTTTCGACCCCAAGAAAAGACGTTTTTTTATCCACTTTCAAAACTAAATCTATCTTTGGATTCAATTTTCCACCAAAGGTCAAGCTACTTTTTAACATAAAAAAACGTACTCGGGAATCAATATATATCAGATTGTACGTTTCATTTGCATGACTATATTAGAAGTTGTTGATTATTAAGAGCTGGAAGAATTATTATCCCGCTTCAGACAAATTTGTCGATTACTGATTGGATAAAAGCTAATCACATGACGCCCTGAAATTTTCCGTATTACGTCTCCGTTTCCATATTACGTCTCCGTCGAGGCGTAATATGAAAATCGGGCACGCGATTCCGTTCGAAGCGTTGTTATTGTAAATAAAAATGGCGGCTAAGAAACGGTTTACGTAGGTAGTTTAGTTAAATTTCTTGTTACCGTAACGATATTTTATGTTGATTGTTATTGAATTAAAACTAATATTTTCATAATATGCACAATTTTTTTTTTGCGCTGAAAAAGGTCTTCAGCGGGATAAATTCGTACGTGTAACACAGTCAGTTAGTGACCTAATTCGGATTCATACAGGGTGTGAAATGGAAATCCGTATTGGGCGAGGCTTCGCCGAGTCCAATACGGATTTCCATTTCACACCCTGTATGAATCCGTATTAGGTCACTAACTGACTGTGTAACTAATATTCTAATTGCCCGTACATGTTATTCATTAAAAATATTCAATCATTAACCATGCAAAAGAATTTTTTTTTTCTTAAGCAGCATTCTATGTCCTTCATCAATAGAAAAGTTAAATCATTATGATGTTTTCCAGATAAAGAGTTATTGACATGGACATTTACGCTCTATATAAATAAGTGCTGTTGGTCCACTGGCAAACAAAAGCAGTTCGAAGATCTTGCCAAATTCAATTAGTAATAGGTATCATTTTTGGGGTCTTCAAAAGAAGAAAACGTCCTGTAAGTCGTGGTTATGAACGTTTATATTGTACGCAGAAGTAGTATCAAGTTCACTACAGACCTTAAAATTTGAGTCATCTAAAATAATGTCTTCCACAAAGATCACAGAAGAACCACGACATTATTGTACTGACAATGAGCTTATTGCGGAAGTTGTACATATGACATGGAAATAAATACATCTATATGTGAGTTCATACTGAGGACATCAACATCAGATTAATTAGTTTTATTAGTCAAAAGATAGATTTATCCCAAACATTCTTTTAACTTTGAGTCCAGTGAATTATCAGATCATCTTGTAAAATCAATTGATAGAAATACTTCGACGAAAAAATTGTTCGGTACTTATTAGTTTAATTTGCTTCTGCATCATTGATGTGGAAACCTGCACAAGCAATCCATACTTTGTTGAATAGACCTTTATCATGGTCACTTAAGGAAATGTACCCAATACCTGTTTCTGTCTCTTTGATAAAAACCTACTTTTTGATTACAAGTCCTTACACAATTAAGCCCATTAAAATGTAAAATAAATCACTTGTTGTGAATAATCAAATGTTATATATAAGTACTATAAACAAAAATAAACTCACACTCAATCTATGCTGACACGATAGAAAAGACATAATACACTACATCAATAAGAAAAAAAAGGCCGTAAAAACGTGATATTTTACAATATGTCAGGTTGACATATACCAGAGGTTTAGTAAAATGTCTCCCTTTAAGTAATAGCGAGCTCTAACGACAACGCCTGGGTGAAGAGAAAATTCGGACTACTGCACATTCATTCCATAGAATTTTTTCCGCAGTAATTTTGACCCACAATGCATCGCTTCGTACACAAATGCTAAAGCCACGTTCTCGCGAGAATAACGACAAAAGTTAAAAGAAAAATAAACTTGCCTTGATTTAATGAATTTATCTATTTATTGCAGAAAAGTAGTCATAAACTGATTGAAATCAGCCCTGTTCAGCCTTTAGTTTGGTAATGCAACATGCATATGACGTCATGCGACGTCAGAGTCTTAGACACGCCGAATATCACGTGCGGTTTGACGAGCCCGATCTAAATGAAAACTGGATTAGTATCTGCGCTCGCCCTAACGGTCGCACCGTCAACATATTATTTCCTAATAAAGCTAGGTATATTGCTTTTCATGTAAAGCTGTTATCAGACGTTAGTCTATGGTTTCAAATTTATAAATTTCATCACAAAATAATCCTTAAAGTGGAAATCACATTCCCACTTCCTGCAGTAGGTAAAAAGTGCCGAGAACTCTATATTTACGAATTGAGGTTTTTCTCTGCATACACGAAATTACACGTATGTTCATGTCTGATTTGATGTTACAGAGCATCATTTCCTGAGCTGATCTGAGTTTGAATTGAGCTTGTTATCATTGCAGTTTTTGATTGAAGAGTAAATGTTCTTTCAGATCTATGTACCATTTATGAGGTTATTGTGATTTTTTTCGCTTGACCATAAAACTTTTTGTAGTAATTTCATATCATTTGTTTTGTAGATACCATCTTTTTATTATAATTGGATGTGTTATTGACTATAGACAAAAAAGGCCTGCTTACATGTACAACTACATTGTATGACAAACGAGTTGGTGTCCAGCGTGGGTCAATGGTTAGAGCGTCTGCTCTGAAGTCGCGGACCAGGGAGCTGATTCTTCATTCGAAACCCACTGCTGGACGTATAGACTAATCCTTTGGATGATACCGTATAAACCGAGGTTCCAAGTCGCAGTAGGTGCTGGCACGAAAATGATCCCTCACTGCTGAATGGACTTGACTGCCGAGTAATATGAGAAAATTTCAAGGTCACCATCAACAAGTTTTGGCACTTCCATCTGAGTGGGAAAAAAATTCTCGAGAGGAGAGGAGACGTTAATCAACATACAAATAAACAACTAAGATTACTTCAACTTTTCCATCTTCAACTTCCCTTACAAATGTATTCTTTAAAATATGACCTGCTAAACGTGTTTATGTCTCCCAGCTTATTTACTGCTCAATAGTCAACATCTTTGAGTTTGAACAAAATTGAAAACGAGGCAACCCGCTCACTGATAAGTTGATTTTACACGGATTTTAACATCTTCCATTTTAATCAGCATTTTATTAATTGAAGGTTCACTTTTTATTACCTTTTTTACAAATATAACTTTTCAATAGGCCTTCTTGGTTGTCATGTTTTATACATTTATACATGGCCTTTGCTTTTATAACTTAATTGATTACGAATTTTTTCTCTTTACCTGATCCATGGGGCTCAAGATCAATCCTCTTGTCTGATCATACCTATTGTATGGCCTTCGTTTTGATATCAAATTTGATGAAGGAATTTTCCATCCACCTGATAGATTAATAGGGCTCACGGCGGACGTGAGCGGCTAATAGGGGATGTTTACTCCCCATAGCTTGGCATTGATCTGATGTATGCAGGTGTGTTCTATGGACTTTTATCATATTTGCATTGTTCATAGATTTTTCGAGAAAATTCACAATTCGTTAAAATCACCTCTTTTAATGTCATAATAAAGATAGAAAAGAAAACCATGTACTCTGTTAAGCCCCAGACACACTGTCACGATTTTAGATCACGGTAAGCTACGATCTAGGGATCCGTGAAAATTGTTAGACATCCGCAGTCAGTCTGTTATTATTATCGTGGTGAGCCCTGTTAACTCGGATTACTCCTGAACGATCCATAAATTGCTACGACTGTTTTGAACTGTGCAAAACAGTCGTGGAAAACCACGATGCAACTTCATTTCTTGTATATCGTAGTTACCCCGTACTGTATGCCCACCATAACCGTGTGACCACCGTATAGAATTTCGTCACGTTTCGGGGTCATCCGTGACACGTAGGTCTACGCTTACGCAAGGATTTCGACGAATGCAGTAGGGAAAATATACGAATATAATCCGTAACTAACCGTAAGCCCGGCACATTTTGTCTCGGTTGTAGTAGGAAAAGACAGGGAAACAATATACAGACTCACGAAAAATGGCGGCAAACCGTCTTGTCTTACGTTGTAATTACGGCAGCAGTAAGAGTTTTGACGTCTAATCACTTGTTTTAACGGTACTTTTACGGTTGGATACGATAGGTTACGATTTTTTAGTTATTTATTACACATTTTTGTCACAATGTTTGCTTGTTATTATTATCTGTTGTTGTAAACCTATAGGGTTTAGCACAGACATATTGTTTGAACATTTTAAACTTAGACAATATTAATATTATAATCATTTTTAGTTATTAGTAGTGAAAGTAAAATGATATAAAGGTTTATTAAATCAGAATGTATATCATTAGTGACGCAAATTCGGTGACTTTATAATTGGAAAAAGGACTTTAAATTTGTAAACAATTATTATCTTGTCAAAACAAATTGGATTTTGTTGTTGTTCCAATGCACTATAATTTGGTAGATCATTTTGTAATGAAATTGATCCGAATAGACCGATCAAGCCCATTGATAGTAAGTAATAAAATTTGAACGGAAATACAATGGTATTATTAAGAGTTTTGACTAAGAGCAATAAAATTGGGAACTTTGAAGTAAATAAGCAAAAGATCTTAGGGCTAGAACTCCTGTGGTGCAGGGATGGGGACTGAGCCCATAAATATTAGTAACATGTATTTACCTGCATTTGAGGGTGGTGCCATGTTGGGTTTCATAGGTCAACGGACAGACTTACGGACAAGGCGTAGGTGGTTGGTGATGGTGAATTAGCCAATGAAATGCATTTTTATATCCGGGACCATGGATACCCACTG